AATTTTTTTAAACCCATAATTGCAGCAAATACTGACAAAAGAGGCACGTATCCCAGAGGCAAAGTACTGGGGGGAACAAGCACTATAAATGGGGCGGTAAATACACGCGGCAACTCAAAAAATTACGATGACTGGGTAGAACTGGGAAACGATGGATGGTCTTATGAAGAATGTTTGCCGTACTTTAAAAAATTAGAAAATGCTGAGTTTTCGGTCGATATTGATAGAAGCGTTCATGGATTCGATGGGCCAGTGCATGTAAATGTGCCAGAAGACACTCCTGTTTTGGTAAGACAACTAAAATACGGTTGCAGAAAAATTTTAAACTGACAAAAAAAACATGTAATTTAATAAGAATGTCTCCAAACCTCAATATCAACTTTTATCATTGCGGTTGTAGACAGAAGAACTGATAAACGCCTTCCTAGAATTAGGAAAAACAGAAGGCGATTATAACGGCGATGATCAGTTCGTTGTAAGTAGAGTTCAAGTATTGTTGGATTATAATACGCGATCCGGCACTGCCCACTCCTACATCCGGCCCATCTTAAATAGAACAAATCTGGTGATCAGTTTGGAATCATTAGCCACTAAAATCCTAATTTCCGATAACGTTGCCACTGGCATTGAATTTTGGAAAAATGGAACCAAATATTCCGCGTCTGCTAAAAAGGAAGTGATTCTATCCGCTGGAGTAATCAATTCTCCTCAACTTTTGATGCTTTCGGGGATTGGCCCAAAGGCAGAACTTGATAAGCATGATATTGACACCATAGTTGACTTACCAGTCGGGCAATATTTCAGCGACCATGCTTACTATCAAGGAATGTTTTATAGGTAAGTTGAACTATTGCAGGCGCTCTTTAGTTTGGTTTGAATATGTTGCAGAACAAAATATACGTTTTACAACAACACTTTCCTGGAAAATTTGGAACATTGGTATCACAATGAACGACCACTCACTGATACGTATACATCGCAACTAGTCACTTTTTACGCGTTTTGATTAATCATTAAAACAAGTGCCTGAAAATATTCTCAAGTACTTTACGCGTTTCGAGTACTTTTCGAGCGATACTGCTGTTTTCCTTGAGTGCCGATATTATGCAGTATCGACGCCAACTTGCAATGCCCTAAAATCCCGWTTGCATTGCTCAGAAGACAAAAATATTYTTGATCCACGTGCACTTCTCATTTACAGCACAAAACACATACAAATTAATGTGATCTTTCAACTAGTAGCAGTTTCAGTTACCAAAGTCACTGAACAATGATGGACAATCTAGATCAGAGTTTTCAGCAAAAAAT